CAGCAGTGTGCTGCAGCAAGGGTCTCGGCAGCAGGTGTGGGGCCCCTGATCGGGCCGCTGCTGCTGCTGCACCGAAACGATGCACCCATGACTTGAATTTGTATTAAATTTGTTTTTTGTTGCAGTTTATAAACAGAGGAAGCACTTTATCTGTGCAGCAACATCACCTGCAGCAGCAGCAGCAACAGCAGCAGCAGCAGCAGCAACCAGCAGCAGCACGTGCACCCGCGGGGTGTACAGGCACCTCCCCCCATCTTCCCTTTCCGTATTTTTTTTTGTTTTTGTTTTTCTTCTTTTTTCTCTTTTTGAGGATTTTGCTGTCCGCTTAAACAAATGGAGGGGCCGGCAGAAGGCCGGGGCCCCCAAGGCCGCCCTACAGACCAGCAGCAGCAGCAGCAGCAGCAGCAGCAGCAGCAGCAGCAGCAGCAGCAGCAGCAGCGGGGCCGACAGGATGGCAGCGGTTTGATGCCTTTGTTGGTGTTATCTGCGTTGGTGATCCTCCCTTCTTTCTTCTCTTTCTTGAGCAGCATGCATTCTCCTGCAGCAACAACCAGCAGCAGCAACAGCAACAGCAGCAGCAGCAGCAGCAGCAGCAGCAGCAAGTGGAATATGGGGTGGTTGCTGGAGGCACACAACCCCCTGCCAGCTGTAATTACACCCAACCAAATCACCGTACAGTACTGCCCCTCATGAGGTTCTGCTGCTGCGCTGCAGCAGCTAACTGGGTTTCTGCAGCAGCACCTAGCAGCAGCAGATGGTTTTCGTGTGGTGCAGCAGCAGTATGAGCCTTGTCCTTTGTTACAGTATATAAGTATAACTATAAACTGTATACGTTGGTTGTTGCTGTTGCTGCTGCTACTACCGCGTCAGCTGTTTCCTTTATTTCTCTCTCAACAGCGTGCAGCAGCAGCAGCAGCAGCAGCAGAAGCAAACCGTTTGCTGCTGCTTGGCGTTGTCTTTATAGGCGGAGCTATCATCACCAGCCTGCTGCTGCAGACGGGGGCGTTTGAGGTTTTCTATGAGAAAGATTTAATATGGAGTTCAATACAAAGACAAAGAGGGGGCCTCCCACCAATGCCTACAGGGGGAGAGCTGCTGCATGCGCTAGAAGCAGCGGGGGCCCCCCTTATACACCATCGTTACTAAATATATTCACTCATCCTGCTGCTGCTCCTGCTGCTGCTGCTGCTGCTGGTGGTGGTGGTGGTGCTGCTGCTGGTGGTGGTGGTGGTGGTGGTGCTGCTGCAGCGCGTAAGGCAAACAAATGCTGCGATAGCACAACTGCAACAAAAGGGAAGGAGGGATCACCTGCTCTGCTGCTGCTGCAGCAGCAGCAGTGCTGCTGCAACAGCAACAGCAGCAGCAGGAATGCTGCTGC